TGCTTCAGCCTTCCAAGTCATTGTGATTACAGCCATGGGCCGTGGGCCACCTCATCTAGCCATTTTAACCTTTTTTTCTTTGGTACCAGGGATTGAACTGAGGGGCACTCCACCACTAAGCCACATCCCTAGCCCTATTTTGTAGTTTATTTAGAGACCAGGGTCTCACTGAGTTACTTAGTGCCTCACTTTTTGCTAAGGCTGGCTTTGAACTCGAAATTCTCCTGTCTCAGCCTCCCAAGCCTCTGGGATTACAGGCCTGCACCATTGCGCCCAGCTCCATTTTAACCATTTTTTAAGTGTACAATTTAGTGTCATTAAATGCATTCACATTGTTACATAACCATCACTATAATCCATCTCTGAACATTTTTCATCATCCCAAACTGAAGCTATACCTACTGCACTCTTCCGCCCCTCACACCCACCATTCTGCTGTTTCTATGATTTTGACTAGGCATTTCATAAAAGGGGAAACATGCAGGATTTGTTCCTTTTGCTTTTTCTTTTATTCTACATTTCCCAAGGTTTATCTGTTCTATAGCATGTATCAGAAGTTGATTTCTTAAGGCTGAACAATATTCCTGTGATTGAGTTTTAAAAACATCCCTCTGGGGATTGGGGTTGTGGCTCAGTGGTAGAGCGCTTGCCTAGCACCTTTGAGGCCCTGGGTTCAATCCTCAGCACCACATATGAATAAATAAAGAAAGAAAGATATTGTGTCAACTACAGCTAAAAAATATTTTAAAAATAAAAATTAAATCATCCCTCTGACAGCTTTGGGAGAAACAATGCGAGGCAGGGGCTGGGAATATTGGAAGCAGGGAGTCCTGTAGGAGCCTGCCCATCCCCATTGGTGGGATGGTGGTGGCTCAGGGGGTGCAGTGAAGATGGTGCATGTAACATGGTTAATTGGTAGTAGAAGCTTTGTTCATTTCCAGACCATCTTCTCTACTTGACCAGCGTGCTGGGTGAAAGAAGCACAGACCCATCCTCAATGGGGGGCTCATGGTTGGTGGGGGAGGCACTGAGACTCACCCACTTGGACAAAATCTCATCTCTAGGAGCCTGCTTTTCCCCCCTTGTGATATTCACAGGAGGATTTAGGGAGGCAGCATCAGGCAACCCTGCGCCTGGGACACCTGGCCCAGAAGGATGCCCATAAATTTAGGAGGGTCATCTGAGCAGAGGCCGAGTTAGATCTCTGTAGGACCTGAGAGGAGGTCCTGGAAGGCTTCCTGGAGAAAGGCCTTGGGGCTGACTGGAGACGGGCGTGCCAGGTTTCCAGTGTCTAGCAAGGGATGAGTGTGGAGCGCAGCTGCGATCGGCCCCCAAAAGTTCCCCCGAGAAACGCTGCCCTGACACGCACCGGGGTCTCCGGGCGACACTGCCCGGCAGCCGGCCGTCCCCGGGGCGCAGGGGAGGTCGCCGGCCTGCGGCGTAGACCCTTGTGGGCCGAGAACTGACTACAGTGTCCACGTGGTCGTCAGCACATGCTACTCACTGAATTCTGCTACACTGGGGTCTTGAGCGGGAACAGGCTGGGCCTGTGTGAGGACAGAAGAGGCCATCCCGGCGAGAGGGTCATAAGGAGTCTGGACAGCCTGGGAAAGCTTTCCTGAGGCTGAGACTTTGCTGAAAGATGAGAAAGGCTGACCCAGCTCCCTGGGGCCGGGACCCCGCAGAGGGATCAGAAGCCAAGGCTGGAAGGTGGCAGGAGATAGTGACAGCGCCAGCCTTGGGAGTGCTCCCCTATACCACCGCTTATGGTGACGAGCTCTGCTTCTCCACATGTTGAAGTTTGAATAGTAGAGAAGCACACTGAGGCAAGCATATAGGGTAGGGTCTATTTAAAAAGGGTTAACAGACTTCTCCCTGGAGGGAGAAGAGGGCCATAGGTGGTATCCCAAGAAGCGAGGTCTTCTGTCCTTTTTATATGTCCTAGGCTTCCTCTGTTTGTTCAGCTCTCGTCCCGTTACCTGTCTCCTTCCTGTGTCCGTGACTAGGCCCAGGAATGCAAGTGGGATGGCCAAAAGGTGGGACTCTGGTGGACTGAAGGGGGAAGGGCAGGAATGGATGGAGAGCCCAGGACACTTAACAACCTTAGAGCTCCTTATAGTAGGGAGGGGCAATTCCTGGGACTGGTTACCTTAGCAACAGGTTAAAGTAAAGGCTCTGAAGGAATTAACATTTCAGTCCCTCCTGGGACAGTCTCCTTCTGGCTGGACTCACTCAAAATTGGCCTCCTTGATCTGACCTAACTTGATTTACCTGTCTATTTATGGCTTCACAACTGCAGCGCAAGCCCTCCTGTGTTTAGTGCCTTACTGGCTGGTGTGTGAGCCCCATATTCCCAGTACTTACCTACATTTCAGAGGAGGAAGGATGGACGCAGAAGGGTTTTCTTGCTCAAGGTCCCATAACTGAGCTAAAATAGGGAGACCATTTTGGCAATGAGGAGCCTTGGCAATTCCAAAGGGAAGCCATTTGTATGGGGAGGTGGTAGGATGTGATTTTTAGACCTAAGCAAACACTGAACCACTGAGTATTCCCAGCCCACCCCTTTAACATTTTATTTTTATTTCTAGTACTGGGGACTAAACCCAGGGTACTTTACCACTGAGGCACATCCCCAGCCCTTTTTATTTTTTTGAGACAGGGTTTTGTTAAGTTACCAAAGGTCTCACTAAATTACTCAGGCTGGCTTCCAACTTGGGATCCTC